GTACCCGTGCCATTAGCTGGTGAAAGAAGAGCGGCTGCAACCCACTCCCCCTCCTGCACTGCTACTATCAGTGCAGGAGGAGTTACAGCTGCCAGCATGCCAGTCTTCACTGTGCAGCAGGAACTCTGCTGTTGCTGCACCATACTGTGGGTGCTGATAACAGCCAGCCTTCCTCCTCTAACTGCAAGAGTCCATAATAGCAAGGTGGTGTCCCTGGAAGAGAGCTGGGAAGACCATCAATGAGGAGGAGCAGTCTGAGCCTTCCACCAGTTGTGGACAAAGCTGACACAGCTGGCATTTTAAAGGAGAGACTAAAAGCAAATGACAAACAGGAGGGCATTGGCTTGTGAATGAGAAATGAATAAAAATGTGAGTTAATGGCTCCTAAAAGTTGTCTGGATGGCACTGAGAGAAGGTAGGAGGCATATGGTGAAGTTGGGAGAGCTGGGAGACGAAGCAAGAGAGCAGCACTCAAAGGAATGGGGGAAACGAGAAAGGGGGCATTCAGAGGACAGCATAATGTGTTGACTTTGCGATGTGAGTGTGTGATGCTGCCCACAAACAGGACCTCCTACTCTCACAAGTTTTCCTTTAGCTCCAGTGGAAGAGACTTGCCTTATTTGGAGCTGGATATCCAGGTTTCTAGTCCCAAACCGCTTCTGTGTGCGTGCGTGATGTTAACTGCACATGGATGTGATTCAGGTCAGAAGGAATGGGTGCCAGGAGCTGGGAGGAAAGGGAGTTTATCACTAAGCCTTTACTGACAGTCATGCTCCTGTTGTGCTTCTCACTTTCCGGTTTGCTGACACCAAAGACCTCTTTTTGCTGTTGAGATCTCTAAACTGGAAACGCTAAATCTCACTCCAGCCTTTAAATCCCTTCCTGTTTTCTGTCAGGACAGCTCTTGCTTAAGGGAACAGACTTGGCTCACCAATGTTTGCAGTCACTTTTTTTTTATTGTTCTGTTTCTAGTTGCTCATGACAGACCAATATCTTCTCTCACTTAAACTAGTGATACCGTTGTAGCCAAGAGGAGAACTTGGCCAAATGTTTCCACCGTCCATCTGCCTTGTAATGCCTTACACTGTGGTTATAAGCATTGTCACATTGTAGTCATTTCAGTTGGCCTGTGGCATATGTGAAATGGAACTGGATTGAAAGCCACCAGGCTCTAGTGGACAGGAACCCACGTCAAACACTCATTTGGCTCCAGTTTTAGCATGCTCATTGGCATTCTCAGCAGAGAGGCCAAGGACTGAATGAACCCGGAGAGGATCTTGCCACAGAGAACTACAGTGGCCTCTCCTTCAGTTAGAGGGGAGGGGCCACAAACAGAGGCTAACTGAATCAGACAAATGAGACAATGAATGTTGCCAGTTGGAGACTGAAATCCAAAGCAAGTACATTATGAGCAGATGTAGTAACAGGCTCCCTCCCTCTTCCCCTCACCCCCCCAGTCCCACTAACATGTCTGAATCAAGATGCAAATTCATCACCACTACCACCGCCCACGCGCTGTGGTTAAGAGGATCCTCTCCAGGGGCCCCGCTTCCATCCACAGAGCCCAGATGGGCTGACGTTAACAATCACTAAAACATATACTAATAAATAAAAGATCCAGCTGGTAGTTTCACAGTATTGTGCAGGTAGATGCTGGTACAAAGCGAAACAGCACAATGACTTTCCATTTGTTCTGCATGAAATGTAACGACAGCTGAAGATGTTGATGTTTATGTTTTTGCAGCATGTTGATGGCTAGTACCAGAAGCTTAACTTAGTGGGAGAACAGGCTGGGTGACATTTCCCCATCATCTACTGAAACATGAAGACCAAAAGCAAAAGAACAAAGCACAGGCTTGCTGTTGACAAAGAAGCCTTTCCTGGGGAGACAACTTTGAGCAAAGAGGAACCGGTGAAATGTTTGCGACGCAAAGAAAGGAGAAATGGCGAAAACAATGAGAGTAGCAAGACTGGTACAGTCAAAGCCAAGCATGGTTGGAACAACAAAGACAGACACTTAAGGCGATTGGAAAGCAATGAACGGGAGAGGCAGAGAATGCACAAGCTCAATAATGCATTCCAGGCCTTGCGGGAGGTTATCCCTCATGTGAGAGCTGAGAATAAGCTTTCTAAAATTGAGACTCTCACGCTAGCCAAAAATTACATTAAATCACTGACTTCCACCATACTCCATATGTCCAGTGGGCACCTTCCAATTGTAGAAGGAACTGGAGCATCCAATGGCTCCAAACTGTACCAGCATTACCAACAGCAACATGGTGATGAGGAACACGATGAACAACTAAAAAAATACTCCACACAAATTCACAACTTTAGACAAGGCAGCTAAAGTTAGCTACTGGCCTCATTCTCTCATCTCCATACATTCCTGTATATTTCAGCATTTGGAGGATTAAGGGGTTATTTCCTCCCGGTGGCTTTCTTTTTTGTTTGTTTTTGAAAAGACAAATGTTTAGTGACTAGATCTCATAATTCTTGTTGAAATTATCCTAAATTGTAGGTCAGGCTTTTCAAAGAGATTAGTGATTTTGGTTGCTCGGTATGAAACACCTTCTCTGTTCTTATAGTTTTTTGTTTACCTGCTTTGTTTGTAATTTTCTTGAGGTCAGAATGTTCTTTTAATTTGTAATGAGAAATTGTTTGATTGTTCAACACCTAGATTGCTTTTGCAGGGCGGGCTTTATAAACAAATTATTTTTCAGTGGGAGGGGGGTCTCTGCACTTTAGAAAAATTACTCTTTTTATAAGGTACCTTGAGTTGGGCACCCAACAGTGATGTCCTAAATCACTAGTCATTATTGAAAATACTGGCTGTAACTTTGATTCCTCCAGAAGTGGCACCATTAATGGGGAATCTTGGTGCAGGAATAATGAAGTTTATGGCCCGGTACAGTACTTTGGAATGTATACAGCTACTGGAGGGACATATCTAACTGACCTGTTATTTGGATAGCAGGACTAATTTATTTAACCACAGTTACCTGGATTTTTCCCCTTGAATTCTTAAATATCCTGCTACTCAGGGGGAGGAACAAATTTAATGACAATAGAAATGTATTTTGAGTAGCTTGATTAGTGTGATCGAACAGGTATGAACAGATATCAGATAATGTTTTCACAAATGGCCTTGGACCAGACCCTAAATGCCCTAAATCAGCGGTTCTCAAACTTCATTGCAACATGACCCCCTTCTGACAACAAAAATTACTGCACAACCCCAGGAGGGGGGATCGAAGACCTGAGCCCTGTTGCCCTGGGCAGAGAGGCCAAAGCTGAAGCCTAAGGACTTCTGCCCTGGGCGAGGGAATGTAACCTTAGCCCTGGGGGTTGGGGCTCGGGTTTTGGCTTCAGCCCCTGGTGGTGGGGCTTAGGCTTAGGCTTCAGACTTGCTGGGGCCCAGGGCCAACACCAGCCTTGGCGACCCCATTAAAATGGGGTTGTGACCCACTGTGGGCTCCCCACCCACAGTTTGAGAACCCCTGCCCTAAACTCATTGAAGTAAATGGAAAGGTTCCAATTCACTTCAGTGGGCTTTGGGTCACATTCCTAAAATGTAATCCTACAACTACACTTAAAATGCACAATAATTAATGTGATCCTTGTTGCATTATATATATATTTGAAAGTGCCTTTCAACAGAAACATTAAAAGAGATTTGTTAGATTGTAACAGAGCTCTTCTAGACAGGAGCTTGTCTTTGGCTGTGTTTGTACAGCACCCAGTCCAATGGGACCCCACTTCCATTTAGACCCTTTGGGTGCTATTGTAATATAAATATTTAACAGTTAATTCACTTGTGATCTTTGCAAAAATGATGTGATTACAGAACAAATGTTTTGAATATTTACCAGTTGGACAATGATAATCTATGCATTTAAAATGAACTCTCCTAATAAAGCCTGCATTGTAATCAATTAGGATTCATTCTGGGCTAGGTACTATTAAATACAATAAATGAAACCGGAGATCTTGAAACAAGAAAAGAAACTTTTTAAAAAAATGTTGGAATAAAAACTCGCATTTCTCCTAGCCCTGCTCTTCTTCACCAAGCTAACATTTCTTTGTTTGGAAATGCTGCATGTACAGTACATGTCACAGCTGTCCCCACCCAGGGCCATAGAGTGCTGATGTTAGCAGGACAGTTGTGGTTATGCTGCAGAGGGGGCAAGGGCAGGATTTAGGTGCTCATGCTGGCACAGGATGTAGCTTCATGGGCCCTACCTTTGTCCCCACTGAGTAGGGTAATGCAAGGGGGAAGCAGGCTGGTGGCTGAGAGAGGGAGAGATTGGTGGATCCTTTGCAGGGGGTGTTGAAGAGAACAGCTGCAGAGACCCCCTAGAACATAAGAACGGCCATACTGGGTCAGACCAATGGTCCATCTAGCCCAATATCCTGTCTTCCGGCAGTGGCCAATGCCAGGTGCTTCAGAGGGAATGAACAGAACAGGAAATCATCAAGTGATCCATCCCCTGTTGTCCACTCCCAGCTTCTGGAACAACAGAGGCTGGGGACACTCAAAGCATGGTGTTGCATCCCTGCCCATCCTGGCTAATAGCCACTGATGGACCTATCCTTCAGGAACTTCTCTAGTTCTTTCTTTGAACCCTGTTATAGTTTTGGCCTTCACAACAATCCCTGGCAAAGAGTTCTACAGGTTGTGAGTTGTGTAAAGAACCCGTGCAACCCAAGGCACTCTGTGTGCAACAGGAAGCCATTCTGACCCTTATGGGTGTGTCTGCACTGCTATAAAAAAATTGTGGCATGGCCACAGCTGGCCAAAGTCAGCTGACGTGGGCTCGTGAGGCTCGGGCTGCGGGGCTAAAAATAGCAGTGTAGCTGTTCGGGCTCGAGCTTGGGCTCTGAGACCCATCCCCCTCATGAGGTGTCAGAGCTGGGCTCCAGCTCGAGCCTGAACAGCTACACTGCTATTTTTAGCCCTGCAGCTGGAGCCACTCGAGCTGCCTGGCCTCAGCGTTGGTGCCATGGGATTTTTATTGCAATGTAGACACCCTATGAGTTCTCCCTGCTCTAATGCTTGGTGCAGTGGGGAGAGACTTTGGCCATTAATACCCTGTAACGTGATATTTATTCCACTGTGCCAGGACCGATAGTGTGATAATGTTTTTATCTGGAATATGTAAAGTGTCAGAGACAGGCTGTGAGAGAGACACATTTTCATCTTCTGCGGTAGCTATCTGCAGATACAACGGGGAAAAATGAATGTTGCATTTGACACACTGTGCTCCCTTAACTGCAGGGATTGGATTCTACCGCCTCAACTTGAGCTCTTCCCAGTGACTTTTTTCCCTCCCAAAAAACCCCCATTACTTAGTGAGAGGTGTTTTGAACTAATCTCTCCCTCACAGGGATCTGAATGGCAGATCACACCATTGAGCCATCTAGGCTACTATCTTCCATTGTGCAGTGCCCACAAGTGCCTGTAATATCTCTAGTTTAGCCAGGGGTGAAAGTAACTTATGGGACTTACCGGTACTGCCGGAGTCCTGAGGGGACCATGGCCTCAACCGGAAGAGGCAGGGCCTCTCAAGATTCAAAGGGCTCTGGGCTCCCTGCTGCGGCGGGGAGCTCTGAGCCCTTTAAACCCAGCCCTAGCCCAGTTGCCGGAGCTGCGGGTGGGATTTAAAGGGCTCTGGGCTCCTTGCAGCCGCGGGAGCTCTGAGCCCTTTAAATCCTGACCCCAGCTTGGCCGCCGGAGCTGTGGGCGGGATTTAAAGGGCGCTGGGCTCCCAGCAGTGGCGGGCAGCCCAGAGCCCTTTAAATCCCGCCCACAGCTCCGGCGGCCAAGCTGGGGTCAGGATTTAAAGGGCTCAGAGCTCCCGCGGCTGCAGGGAGCCCAGAGCCCTTTAAATCCCGCCCACAGCTCCGGCGGCCAAGCTGGGGTCAGGATTTAAAGGGCTCAGAGCT